CCCGCCGCTCCCCCGGCCCCGAAGGCCGGTCGGCTTCGGCCGTACCAGGACGGATGCGGTGTGCCAGGCATCGTGTTTGTCGGTGATAATTGGTGAGCTGCAGCTGCAGCCCTTGCCACATACGCTACGCCCTGATGGACCGGACCTTTTTCCACATTCGCCACCACGGCCTATCGTCAAGCTGCCGTCTCCAATACCTTTATATGGGGGCTTTGTGGAAGCTTTGCATATGGGACCTATGGGAGCTTTGTGTGCCTAGCTGCAGGAGGGACGGCATCCTGTCCAGCACACAAAGCTCCTATTCTTCAGGGGCTTAAAAAGCTTTCTTCTATGGATGGTGGCGAAAAACAAGCGCTTGCTGGGCAACGCACCTTCAGACAGAAGAGCGCAGCGCGCTCCGAAGTGCAGAGCATTGTCCCACCATTTGATGCGCGGTGTATCCGGCTCGGTGCTGATGCGGGATCTGCTGGGCGACATTTGCGTCCTTTTCGGTGCAGGCTAGACACGCAGCGAACAAATAACGTGATCGCACTTATCCCTCCCTGTCACGTCCGAGATGCGTTGGCTCACTGATAACACTGCAATGCACGCTGGCTAATCTCCCGCTCGATTCGACTCGATTTCCCCAGTCGCGGTGCTGTTATCATCAGTCGCATTAGATGCAACTGCCTGTCGCGTGCCGTATCCCGGCCTGATGGGGTCACGTGCCCAGGCTGATAGGGTACCGTGCTCTCGATTCCCCAGCGACATTAGCCGCCTCGTTGGCCACCTGGGATAATGCGATTTCCCTGGCGCAGAGGAGTTCTAATCACGCGTTAATGCTCGCGACTCTCCACGGCTTCTTGCCGTCATCGTAGCAGGCACCACGTAAACAAGCGGTCACTGCGATAAAAAGGCAAGCATGTGTTCTGTCTTGTTTTGTGGGGCAAATGTCCCGTTATGCTGGACGTTTGGGGTGTTCTGTCGAGTGGAAAATTCCAGCAAGGCTTTTTCGCGTGCTCGGCCAGCCGTGGCGTGAAGCGCGTCTCTCCGGGTGGGAAGTGCAGCAGTGGCTGTGGTGTGTGCCAGCGGCGGCTGCGGCGCGCCGCGCGGCCGCTCAGCGCCACTCGCTGTGGAGAGGACCGATCGATGCGGCGGCGGCGGGGGCCGTGACCTAGCCCGCCCGCTCACCGGCGCCGCGCCGCCAGCGAATGGCCGCCGCCGATAGTGGCCCCCGGCGGCGTGGTGCAAATGGGCGGACGGATGTCGGATGCATGCGAGCCACCGCTCAGGACCGTCACGCATCGGCACGCGGCGGGCGCAGCCGGCAACCCCCCGTCGTCACGCACCTATGAGGAGGCATCCGCCTACACCCACGCGCAGGAAGACCACCGGTCGTCACGGCATCTGCAGCGAGGCCCATCCGTGAACACGCTCATGCAGGGAGACTCCCGCCGTCAACACTATCATACAGCGAGACTTCCGCCGTCAACACGGTCATACAGCGAGACTCCCGCCGTCAACACGCTCATACAGCGAGACTCCCCCATAACACGCTCATACAACGTCATATACCCGTCAACACGCTCATACAACGTCAACACGCGAGACTCCCGCCGTCACCACACTCATACAGAGGAACTCCCGCCGTCAACACGCTTATATAGCGAGACGCCCACCGACAACACGCTCTTCTAGCGGGACGCCCGCCGTCAACACGCTCATACAGCGAGACTCCCGCCGTCAACACGCTCATACAGCGAGACTCCCGCCGTCAACACGCTCATACAATGAGACTCCCGCCGTCAACACGCTCATACAGAGGGACTCCCGCCGTCAACACGCTTATAAAGCGAGACTCCCGCCGACAACACGCTCATATAGCGAGACGCCGGCCCATCAACACGCTCATACAGCGGGACTCCCGCCGTCAACACGCTTATATAGCGAGACTCCCGCCGACAACACGCTCATACAGGGAGACGCCCGCCGTCAACACGCTCATACAGGGACTCCCGCCGTCAACACGCTCATACAGGGACACCGCCGTCAACACGCTCATACAGAGAGACTGCACTCAACGCGCGCCCGCAGAGCCCTCCCCCTCTAACGCTCAGCTACAGGTAGGTAACACCTCAACACGTAGCTACAGCGCGCTCTCACCGCGCCACTGTCATCGATGAGCGTGGTTGCCATCTCCGGGCAGCAAAAGCACTCCTATCGAGCACT